GCATGTCATGTAAAGCCACGGACCACAGGGGATGCTACTGGGAGACGGTGGAACCTTTGGGAGGTGAGGCACATTTAGAGGTCCTCAGGTCACTGGGGGTGTTCACTCAAAGGGGCTTGGGGTACTCCAGGTCTCTCTCTCTTTTTTTCCTGGCCATATGTTAAGCAGTTTTGCTCCACCACACTTTCCAACCATGATGTGCCTTATGGGGCCAAAACAATGGGGCCAACTGATCAGGGACTAGACCCACCAAAACTGTGAGCCAAAGTGACCCTTTTTTTCCCCCATAGGTTTATTATCTCAAGTATTTTGTTGGAATAAAGGAAAACTCACTATCACAAGATGGATATATGGTTAAGAGATACTCTAGCCCCAAATCTTGCCCCCATTTCTCTCTTCCACAGTTAGCCCTAGTGACAAGAATTTGGAGTTGTCTTTTGCTCATATATAGGGATTGATAGAGCCAAAATAAGCAAAACTCCAAATGTAAATAAAAAATCTAAGTGCACTGCTGCTCTGCGCCTAAAGCAAAAGTTCCATTTAATCACTTCTGTAAGTAGCTATTCAAATCTACCTGGGTTTCCCAAGGGAACAAGAAGCCATTCTTTAATGGTTGTACTCTGTAATTCAAGAGATATAATTTATGAGCTGTTTCAGAAGCCAAGAGCAGAATTCTCCCCTGCAGAAGATACAGTTTTAAGAACAACGAAATCCCCACTCCAAAGCAAAAGGAAAAAGCAGATACAAAAGGTTTCAGGGTCTATTAACAACATGCATTAAATGCACATATACCTGTGTTTGACAGCTAATGCTGAAGTTGGTCTCAGTTGCCTATTGATGTTTTAATGTTTGGACTAGTTGGGTTCTTTCCCATGTCATTCTCCCACAGTTGACCTTAACTCCATTGTTGACCTAACCTGAGCCTTGCATACTTTCTCCTAAGTCAGGAAAAGGTTAGGAATTTATAAAGGAGAGACAAAACAAGCCTCTGAGATTGGGCACTGTTATGGTTATGTTCCTGTTGGGAATTGTGAATCTAAAACAAAATGAGGTGAGCAAGCTTGTATATGGTAGGCGACTTACAAGTCTCCAGTGAAGTTCACATGTAGGGCATGGACCAGAGCCTGAAGCTGCAGACCAGCTCACAGTACTCAAAGGGCCAGCCTGTGTCTCATACAGACATTTCTGTATATGTATCATAAAATGAATTAAACATATAATGGCAGAATATTTAGTTGCTTAGATACAAGCAATTTAGAGAGGAATGGGAAAGGGCAAGTATGGAGAATGTATCCCTAACTGCAGCTCTAAAAACCACAAAAGACCTTTTTGATTTCCAAAAAGGTAATGCTTTCATGGAAATATTAATGAGAACATAGCCCAAGGATTGCTGTAAAGTATATAAAACTTACAGTTACTGTCAAAAAGAATCTATTCATTTCCATGAATGCAGAGTGACTCTGTTTATTTCAATAAATACAAAAGCAATTAAATTTGGCTTCTTTGAAAACAGAGATGGTATTTGATAACCGATTTTAGTCTGGCTCCTGAGAGATTTGTAATGAAATTCATGGATCCATTAAAGATTGCTTATTTAGATCACAGGTGCATTCTTCCTTTGTTTGGACTAACTATTCTTAATATATAGGAGGGCCAGAATACCCCTGGATCAATTACGAGGTTTTAAAAATAGGTGAACTAAATAGTCTCACTTTGCTAGAAAGTATTTTTCTTCTACAAAATTCCCTCCTATCTTGTTCTGACGGATATCTTTAACCCTACAACTAGAAATATATCACCTTGGTTTAAGACATTGATTCCTGTGGAAAAGTAAACAGAATAACTATTATAGTATCATAAACCTCTTCTGTCAGTTGAAAAATAAGTTAATATATCACAGTAAGCTGTGTCAGTGACTGAGACTCAGAGGAATGAATCTTCCAGGTCCTTTCCTAAAACCAGACTTTAGCAGGGAAGGTAGAGTGATCCTGAGAACAGTGAAATGCTGAGAAACTCCCAGAAATAGGGCAGTATAACATTGAAGAATATCTTTCCTACTTTGCAGTCTTTTTTCTAACAGAGCTTATTATAAACATTCCTTGTCCATTCCTTTTTAAAAGTTAACTCTAAAATATCTCTGACGTCGTATTTAGACTGTTAGAAACATCATATTCTCCCATCTTCTCAAATAGACTGTTTGCAGCTTAAAGAAAAACACAAAGGTTTTCCCAGGATCCTTTGGGCTTCCACGTTTACTATCAGCTAAAAACAAACAAACATGATTCTGAGGGATTTATTTTGAGATTTAATTGTATACAGACTTGCATGTCATTTCAATTTCATAGCAACTTGTCCCATGTGCATTGTTTGTGGAAAAAGTTTTGAAAAGACTGAAATAATTTTCTTGCCTGCTGACTGGATCCTGTTCCCTCTGGGAAGATGCCATAGCCTCCTTCATGTGAGATGCTAGGTGGTAGGGACCAGGGACACTTAGGAGTCCTCTTGCTGAATTCAGTACAGAGTTCATTTGAGAAAAGTGGCTTCCATTTTTGGAGATGCTTAGCAGTCATGCTAAGCATGGTAGTGTGGAGCAGGAAACATGACTTCTCTTACTCTTCTCTTACTCTTTCCTTCTCACTTCCTGACTTCCAGACACAATTCTCTCCTCACTTAACTAGAGAATATTACTTCAGGTTATTCAACACAAAATTTATACTATCTTTTTGTTATTTTCTTTTAAAATGTTAAATCGTATTTTTAATTTTTTTGACCTTTTGAAAACTTGTAATTTGGGAATTTTTATTATTTTAACTTTTACTTTTTTCTTTTATGGCCTTTTTTTTTGTTTTGGAGGGGTTGGGGGTTTTGTTGTTGTTGTTGTTGTTTGTTTGTTTTGTTCTTGTTTTTTACTCTGTTAGAGAAACATCAAGAGAAATGGTTAAAAAATGAAAAGGTCTATTCTTATCAGTCAGGCCTGTTATTTTATTTTTCTTTTGGGTTGGGGAGAATACCAGGAATTGAACCCAGGGTGCTTAACCTCTGAGCCCTTTTTAGTTTATATTTTGTTTTGAGACAGGGTCTGACTTAGTTACTTAGAGCTTAGATAAATTGCTGAGGCTGGCTTTGAATTTGTGATACTCCTGCCTTGACCTCCCCAACTGCTGGGATTACAGGTGTGCACCAGCACACCAGGCTAATTAGGCCTGTTTTTAATGATAATTACTCCATGTTTTTCCAACATGAAACATGTTTTCCCTGATCATTAAGGCAATAGTTGCATGTGTTTTCTTTAACTTCTGTCAGATTCAGTTTGCAATCTTGACTGTGAATTGGTCCTATTACTATTCAGAAGTTTTTTGTTTCAGAAGGGGACTAATGAAAGTTACAGGCTGATGTGAAAGTGGAATGATTTTACCTCTGATAGAGAACTTGCAACATCCCCAGGTGCTCTCTTCACAGACTGATATATTTAGTCATTTGCCACGAATACATTGAGTACTTAATAATGGCTGCCTAAAATTTTTATGCTATTCTTAGTATATGAAGATGACAGACAGTTATTGGTACATCATCAAACTCTAATGTTTATTTTCAAATAGACTTTTAAAAAGCAGTATTAGGTTCACAGCAAAACTGAGTGGAAGGTACAGAGATTTCACTAATACACTGTGTCCCCACATACTCACAGCCTCCCCACTGGCAAAATCTGGTGCCAGAGTTGCACATTTGTTAAGTTAATGAACCTATATCAATACATTATTGTCTTTCAAAGTCCACAGTTAGCATTAAGGTTAATTCTTAGTTCTACGGGGTTTTTGACAAATGTATAATCTCAGGGATCAACCATTGTAGATTCATACAGTAAAGTTTCACTACCAACAAATTCTCTAAGTTCTTTTTTCTTTTAATTGGTTCTTTTTAGTTATATATAACATTAGGATTCATTTTGACATAATTATAAAAGCATGGAATATAATTTATTCTAATTCAGTCCCTTGTACTTCCCCTTTTCCTCCATCCTTCCCCTCAAATCCCAGCAACCACTGATCTTTTTGATGTCTCCATGATTTTGCCTTTTCCAGAATGTTATATAGTTGGAATCAGACAGTATTCACCTTTTTCACATTGGCTTCTCTCACTTAGTATTATATATTTATGTTTCCTCCATGTATTTTCATGGCTTGAGAGCTCATTTCTTTTTAGTGCATGTACCGCAGGATATGTTTTAACCATTTATCTACTGAAGAACACCTTCATTTCTTGCAATTTTGGTAATGATGAATAAAGCTGCTATAAACATCCATGGATGGAGTTTTGTGTGAATATAAGTTTTCAATTTATTTGGTAAAATCATACCAACTAGTATGATTGCTGGATTTTAGGGTAAAGGATATTTACTCTGCCAAAGTACCTTTCAAAGTGGCTGTGCCATTTTTCATTGCCACCAGCAATTAATGAGAGTTCTTATTTCTTCTCACTCACTTTTGGTGTTGCCAGTGTTCTGAATTTTGGCCACTGTAATAGGTATTTAGTGGTATCTCACTCTTGTTTTAATTGACAATTTCCTAATTACATATTACATTGAAAATCTTTTCATACACTTACTTACCATCTGTATATTATCTTTGGTGGGGTTTTGTTGTTATTATTGTTTTAAGATCTTTTGCCCATTTTAAAATCGGGTCACTTGTTTTCTTATTGTTGAGTTTTAAAATTTCTTTGTATATTTTGGATTGCAGTATTTTATCACATGCAAGTTTTGCAAATATTTTCCCCCAGCTGATGACTTGTGTTCTTTTCTTTTGCTATCTGTTGTAGAGAGGAAGTTTTTAATTTTAATATAGCCCAGCTTATCAACTGCAACCTCACTTTTCTGCTGGATCTAAGATAGGTATTGTTTATTTTTCAGTGTCAGCTTTTTACTTATTATTAAAATGAACTCCCAAGTTACTGATATGCTAGATAAGAGCTGAAAATCTCTAGTGTATTTTTTCCTTCAGCCTGGATGAAAACTCACCTGAGAATTTCAAGATGGCTGCCTACAGGGACTGTTTCAGGCCATGAAAGAGAGAAACCAAATGATCAGTGCAACCACAAAACCATGACCCTTTGATGCACTGAGGTCCAGCCAAATCAGTTTTCAGGGGAAAAAATAAACCCAAACCACCAAACCCACTATTTTATACAGTGCTTTTAACTGTGGTTTATCATTAGAGATCAAATTATTTTGGAACCCTTAGCTTACATTGCCAAATTTAGTCAAAGCACTTGCAATAAACTTTTCTCTGATTCAGCAGTCTGAATTCCATCTTGTTTTTCCAATTAAAAAAAAATCAACCATAACTAGGAAAGGGGAGAGGAGAGCTTGACCACTGAATCTTTCTAACATGTAGGCAAACTTCAAATAACTTCATATTATAAAAATATGCATACAGCTGTCCTGATTTCTATATGAATAGGTATGTATGCTCTTTAAAGCCCCAGGACCCAGAGCCATAGAGGTCAAAAAAGAAGATATTTGCTTGTCCAATATTGATGTCTGGTTCCCAGCATTGCCCTTAACTGGGACAAATTCCTATGGTTCAGGCTTCAGTTCAGTTTCAGAGCATTTATCTTTATGTTGTTGAAAAATCTGTTTTCCTTTACTCTGCTTCTACTACGTTGCAGCCTAACAACACGGCAGGAAGAACAAGGAAAATTACACTTTTGAAGTTTCAACTTCAAAATGAGCCTTTGCAGAAACTGGGCTGATGACCTTCTCTAGACATCACCATAACACTGGGTTATCTCTCCACGAATGGTCACCTACAAAGATTGGGTTTCCCTTGCACTGACCACAATGATCATGGAACTTCTATGTGGCTTATTTATTTTTCCATTGATATAAAATTTACGTAATATAAAATTTATCATTTTAGCCATTTTAAGACTTGTATTCTAGTAGATTTTGATACATTTACAACATTGTGCAGCCATCACCATTATCAAAGTCCAGACCATTTCTATCCAACATAAGGAAGGCCCACATTCCTTATGCTGTCTGTCTATGGATTTGCCTATTCTGACATTTCATATATGAAATCATACAATATGTAGACTTCTGCATCTGGTATCCTCTAGTTACCTTGTTATTTTCAAGTTGTACCCATGTTGTAGCATGTAACAATACTTTACTCCTTTGTATGGATTTATAATATTTCATTACTTATTCTTTTGGTTAGCCATTCATCAGTTGATTGACATTTGGGCTATTTCGAGCTTTTATCTATTGTGAAGAGTGCTGTTATGAACATCTACATGTATGTTTTTGTTTGAACGTCTGTTTTCAATTCTAGAGATGGAATTGCTGGGTCATATAGTAATTCTATGTTTCATTTTTAATGAACATCCAAACTCTTCCACAGTGGTTACATTATTTTATATTCTCACCAGCAACATCTGAGGGTTCTGTCCTAATCTATTTTCTGTTTCTATAACAAAATTCTTAAGGATAGGCAACTTAGTTTTAAAATGAGGCTTATTCAAAAGAAACAATCAATGAGGTAAAGAGAGAGCCTACAGTATGGGAGCAAATTTTTACCACATGCACATCAAATAGAGCACTAATTTTCAGGATATATAAAGAACTCAAAAACTTAGCACCAAAAAAACCAAACAACCCAATCAATAAATTGGCTAAGGAACTGACACTTCCCAGAAGATATACAATTGATCAATAAATATATGAAAAAATGTTCAACATCTCTAGTAATTAGAGAAATGCAAATCAAAACTACTCTAAGATTTCGTCTCACTCCAGTCAGAATGGCAGTTATCAAGAATACGGACAATAATAAGTGTTTGCAAGGATGTGGGGGGTAAAGCACCCTTATACATTGCTCATGGGACTGCAAATTGGTGCAACCAATCTTGAAAGTAGAGAACTTGAAATGGAGCCACCTTGTGACCCAGCTATCCCACTCTTTGGCCTATACCCAAAGGACTTAAAAACAACATACTATAGTGACACAGCCACATCAATGTTTATAGCAGCACAATTCATAATAGCTAAACTGTGGAAGCAATCTAGATGCCCTTCAATAGATGAATGGATAAAGAAACTGTGATGTATATATATGCAATGGAATACTACTCAGCAATAAAAGAGAATAAAATTATGGCATTTACAGGTAAATGGATGGAGTTGGAGAATATCATGCTAAGCAAAGTAAGCCAATCCATAAAAACCCAAGGCCAAATATTTTCTCTGATAAGTGGATACTAATCTATAATTGGGTGAGAGCATGGGATAAGTGGAGGAACTTTGGATTGGGCAAAGGGGTTGGGGAGGGAACATGGAGATAGTAAAGATGGTGGAATGAGACAGACATCATTACCCTAGGTACATGTATGATTGCAACAATGGTGTGATGCTACTTCATGTACACCCAGAGAAATGAAAAATTATGCTCCATTTATGTGCAATGAATCAAAGAGCCTTCTGCTGTCATGTCATGTCACTGATTAGAACAAATGTTTAAAAATGGGGTTTATTTGGTTTACAGCCATTGATTTCTTATAAAGGCCTCGTGCTGCATCACCTCATGAGGAAAAAGTGGGAAGAAAGTGGGCACACATGAACGGTAGCAAGATGGCCAGGGGGCTGTCAGGCTCACTTTATAGTACCAACCCACCCTCACAAGAGCAAACCCTTTCTCACAAGATAAAGAATGCACTCCCAAGAAAAGAGCCTTAATCCCTCTTACAGGTCTCATCACATCTTAAAGATCCCATTACTTCTCAACACCATTACTTAGGGGGTGAAGTTTAACATGAGTTTTTGTCATCTAAACCATAAGTAGGTTCCAATTTCTCCTTATCTCTGTCAATTCTTGCAAGTTTCCTTTATACACACACACACACACACACACACACACACACACACACACACACACATACCATACTGGTATGGTTAAGGTTCTTGAATGTCCCCAAAGGTCCATGTGTTAAAGGCATGACCTCCAGGGTGGATATTAGAAGGCAATGGGACCTAGGGGGAAGTGTGTAGGTCATTGTGGGTGTGTTTCCAAAGGAGATTTGGGGACCCCAGTCTCTTTTTCCTCCTGTGCTTTTCTTTCTGGACATGAGGTGAACTGTTTTGCTCCGCTATGGGCTCTTGCCATGATGTATGTGCTGCCTTATTACAGGCCCAATGCAATGCAGCCAATCAATCATGAATTAAAACCTCCAAAACTGTGAGCCAAAAAAAAAATCTTTTCTCTTTATAATTTGATTATTTCAGGCATTTTGTTATGGCAATGGAAGACTGACTAACAATATCCATCTCAATGGGTGTGTTTGTACTTCCCTAATTACTAACATGGTTATGCATTTTTTCCAGGTGCTTATTAGCCATTTGTATATTTTCATTGATGAAAGTTCTATTCAAGTCCTTTGACCAGTTTTAACTAGGTTGCTGGTCTTTTTGTTGTTGAATTGTTAGAGTTCTTTACATATTCTGAATACTGGACCTTTTTCAGATATATGATTTGCAAATATTATCTTCTATTGTTTGGGTTGTCTTTTCACTTTCTTTATAGTGTCCTTTTGATACCTCTGTGTGGCTTTTACAGAGATGGATCTATGCAAACTTGAAGCAGTATCTTTAGTCTCTCTCACTTCTCCCCTCCCCCATCTCTCTTCATTTACTTCAGGTTCCTTCATCTCCCTTATAGAATACTATAAGGCCAGGAAAAAAAAAATGTTTTCTGATAAATTCATCCACAAGGGAGTTTACATTGCTGAAAAGGTCTACTAACTTTTCCTCCTGCCAACTGTATCAACTTCTCAGGAGTTGAACTAAAGGAATTTATGCAATTTCAAGCATGAATGAGGATTGTGGGCTGGAGCATGGATGCCTTTCTATTGTTGCTGAATCACACTGAGTTAATACCTCCATTTCTACCTAAAGTAAAATTTCGAGTCCTGATTCCAAGGCTTTACAAAAGCCAATGATACCCTTGTGAAACTTTCTATTTATCCTCTCAGTCCCTTGCCAGCCACTGTACCCAGCATATCAGTAATCCAATCTCCGTATGTTCCATTTTAAAACTGTCTGTGGTTCGAATGTTTTTGGAAATGCACACATTCCCTGACACACACCTGTAGGACTCCTAAGATCACTTCTAAGCTGTCATCTATATATCAGTCAGATATCTTCAGAATGTCATAAACTCCACTGAAAATAACTACTTCCCCCCCTCTAATATTCTCGAATGAGGTTGTCCTGGGGTTAAAATGAATCCACTGCCTTTAGTCATTCATGCCCACATAAACACCCCTTGGGTCTCCTCTGCCACTCCCTAAATACGATTCTTCAATTCTTTACTTTAACATCACTGATGCTGCTGACAGCTCTAATGATTATGCTGGAAAACAAAACCTTAATTAACCTAATCAGCCCACCATGGGACTGACAGGTATGCTGTGCTGTCACCGTGCATTCATGATGTACAATCTGCCATGAATAGAGCTCTTTTTCAGCTGCTCTGGCAGGGCCACCTGCTGTCTGTGCCCCATTTCCTGCCAGCCAGTTCTGTGACCTTCAGCAGCCAAAGCCAAGTGATTACAGAACTGGTAACATTCGTGCCAGGGACTCAGTCCCTGTGAGTTTTGTTCGCTACAGCAGAGGATCAAGAGGCTCCAGGAAAGAACCTTGGAGAAGTGTTTTCTTTACCTAAAGATAACCAGAAAAGCGTCTGTCTGCCTGAAGGTAGTATAAAGAGGCTCAGCATCAATCTTCCTTTCTCCAGACCGGCACAAGTAAGATTTGCCAAGAGGTTTCTCAAAATGAACAAGCATCTTCGAGCTGCTCACACAGCCAGTGATGACTGAGGCAAATATTAGGATGAATCTCAAAATTAAAATCAGACCAACCTAATTGGAAATTTAAAGTTTTAAAAATTCCATTCAAAATAACATCAAAAATATAAAATAATTCAGAGATAAATTTGACAAAAGATGGGCCACAGCTGCACCAAAGAACTACAAAGCATCGCCGAGAGAAATTGATGTCAAAACAAATAAGAAATATGTTCATGAGTGAAAGAATAAATATTATTAAGATGTCAGTTCTTCCTAAAATGACTTACAGATTTAATGCAATCTCGATCAAATTCCCAGTACACTATATTTATAGAAATTGACAAACTGGGGGCTGGGGCTGGGGCTGGGGCTTACTGGCAGAGCGCTTGCCTAAAAAGTGTGAGGCATTGGGTTCAATCCTCAGCACCACATTTAAGTAAACAAATAAAC